AAACTGCATTGTTTTCTGTAAAAATACAGCTCTTCAGGGTAATGGTGACAAATTTCACTTTCTATAAATCTTTAGCAATTGAGGTAAATCCTGGGTCATGTAGATTAACCTTTCAAATGCTGAGATTTTGGAACAGAGGAAAGTGTGTGCTATTAAATCTTGAAATTTGTAAATGTCCAGACTTTTTAATGACTAAGAAGAGCTAATCATGTGAAAGAAAGGTCTTAGAAAGCAAATCCATTATTCTCTAGGGATATGTCTACACAGCGGTGTTATTTCAGAATAACTGACATTATTCCGAAATAACATAGTCCGCATCTATGCTACAAGCAGTTATTTCAACATAATGTCAAGCTGGAGGACTTGTTACTCTGATTCCTGTAACCCTCATTTCATGAGTAGTAAGGAAAGTCGGAGGAAGAGTGCTCTACCTCAAACTTCCTGCTGTGTAGACAACGCCAAAAACCGAAATAAGCTATTTCAACTTAGGCTATGCAATTGATGTAGCTGAAGTTGAGTTGCTTATTTCAGATTTAGCACTCCATGGTTTTAGACATGCCCTAAATCTGTGTTAAAAGGTCTCTCAAACAGAGCTGAAAAAAGGACATGCTTGAAATTCAAAGGCATATTTTGCTAGCCAGACACAACAGGTAACTTGTGCTATGTTGTTTTCCCCATTTCTTGGGAGAAGGTGGAGGTCAATGGCCAGGTTTTTTTGTAGCCTGTGAGGGGCTGTGATAGATGATTGGCATCAGAATATTTTAATTGTAAGACGTATCTTTGAGAATGCAAATGTGGTTAGGAGAATGTGCAGGCTTAGTTGTAACAAACCAGTAGAACAGTTCTTTGGTAGAGCGTCAACTAATGTCTTACATTGTAGGATGATATAGCTTTAATGAGGAATAGAATACAAGTGATAACAAAAGTAGATTTAATTTTAAGCAAAATTGTTGTTGCGTTGCCCTTAAGTTTTGCAGCTTTCATCCAATCCTGTCTTCCCATTCCATCTGAAAATGTTGGCGTACCAAAGCTGACAGCTCTAGCCAGTGCAGATCTATTGGTGCTTCAGCTTGTCTGGAGTGGAGGTCTGCTGCAGTGCTGACTTGCATTCCGTACATTCCTCATAGCTTTAAGTAAGAAATATTGATCGAACAGTCATTCCTCATCTTGGGGAGTTGCAAAGAACCTCAGAGGGACACCTAATCCTGACCTGGCAAAGTTCAGAGGTTATTTCACTAGTAACCTCTAAAAGGTGCTGAATTCGACAGCAAGGCAGATTTTGAAATGCACTGCCTTAAGAGGCTCTGTGTGCCCATAGAATGTACCTCTTTTAGACTGCACTCCTAACGAGTAGAGTGTTTTTACGTTACTTGGACTTTCCCAATGAGGCAGGAGGGAAACTACATTCTGACTATTGAAATTAGTAAAATTTCTTTCCCTTGTGTTGAGGTAGGTTTATAATTCCTTGTATCTAATCACTGGCCAGCTCTCATTCAGTACTAGCTGGTGTCTCCTGTTCATCTCGGAGGTAACACTGCTTCATAGTTTCTTGATTCTGAGTTTGAGACTGCCCTCTGGTGCTGGATTTATAGAGTAGAGAAGAAAGTAAGCAGTGCTCTGAAGTTGTTCCAGCGGTGAGCTCACTCATCTGAGAACCTAAAAGATCTTGAAATACTTCACATTTTCTATTCTAAAACAAGTAATTTCAGATTTCATTCATGTCACAACAAATAGAAAATAAGACCTTGCGTTTTATGGGGCAAATGATTTAATCACGTCCCTGAAACAGAGCTGAGGAGCAATTTAGCAATGTATTCACACGCTGCTACTGCACAGGCTTTTTCGTACGTGATGTCGTACAGTTAAGGTCCCCTAGCAGCTGCTTTTGTCAAAATGTATAAACGTAGGTGATCTATTTTGAGAGGCTGGTATCTGGGAGCTCTGGATGAAAGGCCGATCTGCCACTGATTTAGTGTGACCTTGAAGTCATTTAACTAGGTTCTTCTTTACATGTCACAGACTGGGGAAAATATGAACCAGCTTCACAGGAGTATTGAGGTCTATTTAATAAATGATTGTAAAAGATTTTTAAGAATTTCAGATGAAATTGGTGCACAATGGAGTTGATGGTGTTCGGTATGTATTAGAGGCAAGGTATTTAAAGGTTAATATCAAATATTTGCAAGTTAAGTGGAAATGAGTTTCAAATGTATTAACTGCAGTAGTTCATTATTGTTTATGAAAAATAGGCAATGCTTCCATTTATGGACTTGTAGAGTTATTTTGCTTCTACTTGGCTTCCAGCTTCATTCGTCCTGCTGAGTGTTGACACTTGTAACATGGCTTTGGTTTTATTCTGAAACATAGCCTTCAAAAGAGATTGTAAAATAAGCACATCATAAAGAGTAGAATTCAAAGTACAGCTAAAGCGGTGAGGAGTCCTGTGGCACCTTATAGACTGACTGAAGTGTAGGAGCATAAGCTTTCGTGGGCAAAGACCCACTTCATCTGACGAAGTGGGTCTTTGACCACGAAAGCTTATGCTCCTACACTTCAGTTAATCTATAAGGTGCCACAGGACTCCTCGCCGCTTTTGCAGATTCAGACTAACACGGCTACCCTTCTGATAAAGTACAGCTAGTACCCCTTGCCAAATTACAGGGCTGCACATAGGAATTTTTCTGAAAACTACTCTACATACACCTTCCTTTTTATCTTGCATAATGCCCTCACCACCCATGAAATGGTAGCCATTTAGGTGATGGCTGTTAGTAGAGAATGGGTATTTTATGCTATTAATAGATATAGATTTTGATTTATTTCAGTAGAGTCCTACAATAAAAAAGCTTTTACATTTTTATGAGATGTTTTCCTAGTTGTATTAGCAGATTCTTTCTTTTTTTCTGTAGAATGTAAAATGTGTGGTGAGCAATTCGGAAGCAGTTTGGTTGTTCTCCATCTGCGTGTGTGGTTGCATGATGATAGTTTGGAAGTTCAGCATTGTTTGGCAAATAACTTTGTGTAACTGCAAAGAAAAACAAAACAAACTTTCCTTCGTGTACTTTCACTGTTTACAGAATCCACTTGGTTCAAATGTTAAGGGTCTTCTACCAGGCTAATGTCAGTTCTTAATTAACTGAGGATACAAAGAGTCCCCTATTCTGGATGCCTGAAGCTAAAGACATGTCTGCAAACTTTTGCCAATGCAGATGACATCAGTGTAAAAGCTGCTGGAGTTAGTGTGTCGCTCGAATGCGTGCATTCTTGTCTCCTTGGGTGGGTGCTGTGAGCTCTCTCCAGGAGCGTGGCACACCATGAGTAGGAATCCAGGTACACAACTTGCCACCATTTTGGGAAGCTTTGGGAATGCATGGCGAGGAAGAAACAATTCATGCAGGAGTGACTGGGACTATGGGCTCAAGTTTCCATCATGACACTGTTTTCCACAGGCGATGATTTCAGCTGACATCTCCCTCCTGAGGATAACTAGGGATGTTAAAAATAGTGCAATAGGGGAACTGTATAACCGCTGACAATCTTACCCACACTGTGGGCTCTGCAGTATAATGCTCAGCTAAACGTTACACTGCAAAGCCCGCAGCAAAGCCTGCTGGGAAGCGGGGCTGCCAGGCGCTGCTGGCAGCGTAGCCTCCTCCCGGGATCAGAGTGGGCAGTTCTTGGCCACCCGGTTCCCAGGAAGGCAGCTTTGCTGAGGGTAACAGACACTGTTAACTGATGAGCATCTTCTTATCAGTTAAACAGGTAGTCACGTATACTCCCCCATCCCAAGGATGGCACAGCCTAGAGAGAATACATGCTACTGGAGTCCCAAAGAGACCCAGGCCTGGATGCTGCTGTGCCTGCTGACATTATTGCTCCCTGGCAGTAGGAGGGTTTTCTACTGCAGAGGAAGAAATAAGGCCTTTGGGAGAGGATTGCAGTGCACCTTCATAGATGATTCAAACATCCTCCTGAGTACGTAAACTGCTCCACATGCCCCCCATACCGAAGACTACAGGGGAGTGAACACCAGATAGCAACTCCTGTCCTCAAGGGACTTCCTTAAATTACCTTGTAAAACGCACCTAGAGAGCCATTCAGTCTTGGCTTTTTACCCCGTTTTCATAGTTGGTGTTGCCTCTAAGGGTATGTCTACGCTAATGCAGCTTTTATAGACAAGGTTGTGTTGAGACAGCCCTGACTCTAAAAGTCATGTGTGAATGCTGTACTTCCTTCTGACCCTGATACTTGCTGCCCAGCTCTTACCCCCAATCCCTGTCCTCCCCCGAACTTTTGGACGGCTTCTCTTTGCAATCCAAGAGAGGTGCATTTTCTGCCAGTGGAACCTCAATTTTGCCCTTAAGGAGAGATTACCATCTAATGATTTGCACTACATTAGCAGGGTCCCTCCTCAGGCCCCTTTGTGGGACCCCATCCTTTGTTTTCTATTTTTAATATACAGAACACCGCTACAATAAAGATGCTACATCCCCAGGCTACATTCTGGTTAATCGCATTCATTTTTCATCTTTTCTTATCCTATGCCTTTTTTCAGCAATTTATTATAGCTTTAGTTTCTAATCTGGGGTGTCTGAGATTTGGATTTCTATACCAACTGATCTATAGGTGGCCTCTACAGCTAATTTCTGAATTATTTGAAATATGGCTTTCTTGACTAAGGTAAAGAATATTTATGTAACACGTGAGCAGTCCAAACAGAAAAAGTCACAAGCTTCACTATATCAGTGAGAAGAATGCCCTTCTTCAAATGTACTGTACCAGGAAGGCTCGAAGTATGCTCCAGACTGCTGTCTCCCTCAAATGCTGTTGCAGTGCTATGTATTGGGGTTGGTCTTTGAGCGGAATATCTTGCCAATGAACCTCCTTCCTTAGAGCCCTGAGAGAGAGGTTTAAAAGCAAACAGCTTGATGTATTTTATTGTCTTCCCTTTGTATAGTATTATCCAATTATGGCTTCTAAATAATCTCATTTGTTTGCAGGTTGAAGAACGGCCAGAAAAAGACTTTGAGAAGGTAAGGAAGTTTATATGAATGATATTAATCATAACACATCTTACCACTTTTCAACACGTTAAACATGCATTGAATTGACACACATTGTAAATAAAATTCATGACAGGGGAGAGGTCAGACTTATTGGGAGCACAATTTTTTAGCCAGAAAGTATAAACCATCAGTATAAACTACCAATGGAAGCGATATCTTCAAATCACAACTGAGCACCTTGGAAAAAATGAATATTACGGAATAAATTCAGTGAGCTTCCTACCTAGCCTCACTGTAATGAAATAAAACTCATCTCTGAGGAGCATATCTCAGGATTGAAGGGGAAGTTCAGACTCCATAGTCAAACACGCATGCTAGGATTGCCATCTGAGCGGCTATTATGTCATTTTGGACACCTATCTACTGTGAATAGGACTGAACTAAGAGCACAGACTTGCTTCTCATAGCTCACCAAGTAGCTATGTGATGGTAACGTTTGTGAGATCATTTCTATCATGTACCAAATATGAACTGATGACCCAAAGGTGAAGACTTCTCTCTCTACCAATAGCCATACTCTCTTTTAAAAATGTCAGGACATAAAATTTGTTCAACAGCAGGTTTTTTTTGTGCCCCGCTAATGCACACTGTGTCTACAGATGATCCATTTGTTACACAGTAAAACAACATTCTTTGCTCCAAAGAGATCCTTGTGGTCATTCTGATTGGTATGCACATAAAGATGCATTTTGCATTCTTAAAACATTAACATGCATTCATTTGTATGTTTTATAAAAGATCATTTCATAACCCATCTTATTTTAACTGTGTGGGGTTCTAGGGAGCTCGTACTGTGTCAAGCTTATCAGCAGCTACGCTAGCCTCTCTAGGTGGAACTTCTTCCCGGAGAGGCAGTGGGGACACCTCCATCTCCTTTGATACTGAGGCATCCATTAGAGAAATTAAGGTAAGAAATCTTTATTTAGTAACATGTATGAGTAGGAACTGTCTCTTGCTAGAGGCTTGTTGCAATGAGAAAGTATTTCCATTAAGTTTGACATAGTAAGCAGTGGAATTATTTGAAAGCATAGCTTTAATTTCTCCATCAGTAAACATGAGGCAAATCCATATTGTCAGGAGCTACCAAAACTACCCTTTTCATTTAAAGACTTACCCCTCTCGAAGTTTAAATGTGGGTGGTAGCTGTGGTCTGTTTTATGCGCAGCTGAGTAGTCGTTTTGGTCCTGGGATATTAGAGAGACAAGGGGGGTGAGAATATTTATTGGACCAACTTCAGTTGGTGGGACAGACAGGCTTTCCTGCTTACACAGAGTACCCACCATCTCATCCACCTCGTGGCCTGCTTGGTCTGCTCATTTTATTGGTGTAGAAAAATGGTTCATTGCTGTTCTAAAGGGAGTACAGCTGAAAGTTGTGGGCTAGGTGCAGGAATTGTTGGGTGAAACACTATGGCCTGTGTTATGCAGAAGATCTGACTAGATGATTGCAAGAGTTCACATGGTATTAAAACCTATGGAAGTGGTAAACAAACCCAGCTTTTGCAGGTCATCAAGAAGTGACCTAGAGCAAGAAATTGTGTATAGCTTTAACAGAGCTTATACATAAAATTAATTTCTTTATTCCATTTTCTGGTGATATTTCTCAGACTTCCTAGGGTGTCCTATAAGTGCTTTCTTTTCTCAGACTCCTAGAGTGATGTAGCTATGAGCCCCTCACATTAACAAATGTATCTTCACAACACCACTGTTGTGCGCTAGTAGAGAAACATGATTCCCATTTTATAGCTGGGGAATGGAGGCAAAACAAGGGAGAGAGAGAGAGAGAGAGAGAGAGAGAGAGACTTGCCCGATATCATGCAGCGTGTGGCAGAGCTGAAAACAGAACTCAGATCTCTCGAGTCTCAACCTAGCTCCTTAATCACAAGACCATCCTTATTGTTCTAAAGCAGGAGTGGGCAAACTTTTTGTCCTGTGGGCCATATCTTTGTATGGAAATTGTAGGGCAAGCCATGAATGCTCACAAAATAAGGGTTGGGATGTGGAAGGGAGTACAGGCTCCAGTTGGGGATGTGTGGGGCCAAAGGTGAGTGGTTTTGGACGCAGGAGGGTACTCTGGGCTGGGGCCGAGGTCAGTGGAGCTTGGGGTGCAGGCTCCAGGTGGCACTTACCTTAAGCGGCTCACAGAAGCAGTGGTATGACTCCCATATCTCCTTCCTCAGTGAAGGCGCAGCCAGGTGGCTCCACGTAATGCCCCGTCTCCAGGCACTGTCCCACAGATGATACCGCTGGTCAAGGTTCCCAGCCAAAGGGAGCTGCAGAGCTGGTGCGTGGGGCAGGAACGGTATCTGGAGCTACTGGCTTCCTCTGCTTCCAGGAGCTCTGTGGAGCCCTGGCACGTATGGAGTGGGACAAGCCCCCATCCTTGCTTCCTGGAATGTGCTTGATGGCCATAGTAAAAGATCTGACAGGCCGGACGCAAGCCATAATTTGCCCACCCCTATTCCAGAAACATCTCAGAAATGTCCCATTTTCCTAATCAGAATTATTAGGATAGGAATAGATATCCAGTCAAGAAAGTTGATTGGCTGAAAAACCAGTAAATCATTTTATAATGAAGTTCAGAAAACTCAAGCTAGAGTACAATCATGGACATTTTGAAACTGGCTTCTCGCTATTGCTCATTAGTTTTTGTGACATCATTCACCTTTCTTGCCATTTCCCTCAGGATATCAATGAGTTAAAGGACCAGATTCAGGATGTAGAAGGCAAATACATGCAGGGATTGAAAGAAATGAAGGTACCCATTTATTGCAGAGCAAACGTGTGATATTAACATGGTCTAAACTTTTAGAGAAGTACAGTGAGAGAGAGAACTAGAATTTAATCTGCATGCTTTTATGCTGAGGGGGTGAATTAACTAAAAGCATTTCATCAGTGAGGAAATCACAGTTCCCATTCTGATGACCAGTAATCATTTATTGGGATAGTTCTTGGTAATTGGCACATGTAAATATTGTATTAACCTCTATAGAAAAGGTCATTAATAAGAACTCTTAATACTGCATGTCTTATATTTTGGTTTAAAAGCTTCAGAGGGGTAGCCAAACCCTAATCTTTATAATCCAATTTTTGATAGAGAACTAAATACACACTCCAAACACCGTAATATAAACAATGAATAGTCTGGCAGCACCTTAAAGACTAACAAAACATGTAGATGGCATCATGAGCTTTCATGGGTACAATCCACTTCTTCAGATGGGTTGTACCCATGAAAGCTCATGATGCCATCTACATGTTTTGTTAGTCTTTAAGGTGCTGCCAGACTATTCATTGTTTATATTACGGTGTTTGGAGTGTGTATTTAGTTCTCTATCAAAAATTGGATTATAAAGATTAGGGATGGTTAGCTAACCATTTAACCGATAAGCCAGTTCTTATGGGTATAGATTAAACTCAAACTCATCTTGCTCCCAGGCAGCTAGCTACACTGCAGCAGGGCAGCAAAGCTACCTCCCTGGGAGCTGGGCAGGAAAGAGCTGCCGGCTCCACTCCCAGCGAGGTGGCGTCAGTGCCCAGTAAAACAATTGGTAAGTTATGCATGCCTGCAGGAGAGGCACTCCTACCTCATGCTATAGTAACAACCCGGATAAACCCCTCCATATCCACAGTGTGGATATGTTACAGCAGCTGCAGGGAAGGGATGTCTAAAAAGTCCATTAATTCACAAAAGGATGTTGGTGGAGCAGCTAAATAAATGTACAGTAAACTTCCGATAGTCTGGCACCTTTAGGACCCAGGGGGTGCCGGATTATCAGATTTGCCAGACTATCGGAAGGGGGGGCTATGAGGGGCCTGGGTTGGGGAGGATGCCGCCCCAGACCCCTCATAGCCCCCCACTTCCGATAGTCCGGCTCTGCCTCAGGCGTCCCTGATTCAGCCGCTGCTGGTCAGTTTCAGCAGCGGCTGACTTGGGGACACCCAGGGTAGAGCAGCTGGGGTGCTGCCGGGTTGGTCCCACAGCGCTGCCACTCGGCGCTACTGGACCAACCTGGCAGCACCCGAGCTGCTCTGCCCCAGGCGTCCACAAGTCAGCCGCTGGTCAGTTTCGGCAGCGGCTGAATTAGGACACCTGGGGCAGAGCAGCTCGGGTGCTGCCAGGTTGGTCCAGTAGCGCCGAGTGGCAGCGCTGTGGGACCAACCCGGCAGCACCCCAGCTGCTCTACCCTGGGTGTCCCCAAGTCAGCCGCTGCTGAAACTGATCAGGGGCTGATTCCAGGAAGCCTGGGGAAGAGCAGCTCTGCCTTGGGCTTCCTGGAGTCAGCCACTGGTCAGTTTCAGCAGCGGCTGACTTGGGGACACCCAGGGTAGAGCAGCTGGGGTGCTGCCGGGTTGGTCCCACAGCGCTGCCACTCGGCGCTACTGGACCAACCTGGCAGCACCCGAGCTGCTCTGCCCCAGGCGTCCACAAGTCAGCCGCTGGTCAGTTTTAGCAGCGGCTGAATTGGGGAACCTGGGGGCAGAGCAGCTCCAATGGTCCGGCTGCCCCGAGCACTTCCGGGTTCCTGATGGGGCCGGACCATCAGGAGTGCCGGACCATCAGATGCCGGACCACTGGAGTTTTACTGTATCTGTTTGACACTTTACACTAGGTATTCAGCTGCACTGGCTCACATTTTGAAAACAGAAGGCATGTAAAGATGAGGGTACTGAGGAGTTGGCATACTAGATGATGTACATATTAGCATAATTGTTAATTAAAAATTTAAAACTTTCTCACATATTTCTTCCTCATCTGTTCAGTAGTACAAGATGTTCAGTAACTGGAATCTTGGCTGACCTGCACATGGAAAAAGCTGTTGGTACTTTTTGCATTTTTTTAGACATATGAAGCCTAAAGTTTTTTCTCTTCTAGATCACAAAATATATAGTAAATTGTGCAAAAAAGTCGGCCTTACTCTTTGGATTTGTAGCATTTTTATCCCTAATCATATTTCAGGTCTGCTTGTGTCTTCAAAGACCCAACAACTTCAGTTTTGCTTAGTCAACTCTGACCTTGCTTTGGGTGAGGAATGTATACTTAATTAAAATTAATTTCCAGCTATAGCAGCTTTTTCCAGAATTTGCCAAGAAACTGGAACATTTTAACCAAATTCTTCCCTTCACAGAATAAAAGTATTAAATAGTGAATAGATTGAAAATTTCCTCTGATTTACTCTAGTTCTTTAGTGGTTTTATTCTTCATATTCAGATTTGGAATTATTAAATGACAAGTAGATAGTCCAGGGTTGAGAGAGAATTTTATACTAATAAAATGTGACATGTTCTGCTGTGATTCTGCATTTACCCTTAACATTGTGTGCTTTCGTGCCAACTAATTTGAAAGGTTTAATTAATTATATAGCTAGTTTGATTTGTCATTGCTCTTTCAGCACTTGTTTTTTACAGCACACCTGCAATGTACCAGTATTTCATGGGAGACAAGTTGTTGTACCTTTACAATGTCAGATTACCTTATTCTTTAGTAGTATTCCAAAATTTGAAACATGTGTATTGTCATATTTCCCCATAATGTTTATGAATCTACCAGAAGTGGATATTATAAATATCCAGAATTTTATTGTGAACATTCACTTAATGCTAGCAATTGGCGAATTGTTGTCCTTGCTTTAAATTAAGACCTCTAGGTTGGCACCTCTTTTGTTTCTTGCCTGTGTACTTACAGTGCTTTGCTTTGAAAGTTGCTGTTAGGTTGACTGTATACTTGGACAGGTTGTAGACCTGAGATGTAACATGGAAAATTATGCCATTTTATCTTGCCCCATTTCACCTAGCGTTAGGAGTATCTGAACTGTCCTCATGCTCAGCATGAGTTAATAAATCTTAACTGTACAGGCAGTAGGAACTTGATCTTGCTAAAGCAAGTCAAGAACGGGCCTGTAATAAAATAAGGGGTACGCATGGAAAACATTATATTTGTTTCACTCATCATCTGAAGCAAAATTCTAGCCAAAAATGAAGTCGAAAGCGCTGGTGTCCCCTGAAAGCTGACATTGTATAGCTCTCTCTTAAGGGGGGGGGAAATCCTCCCTCCTCTCGAGCAACGTAGCTATGCTGATCTAACCCCCAAAGCAGACAGTGTGAGGTGAATGGAAGACTACTTCTGTTGACCTAGCTACTGCCTCTTGGAGAGGACGACTAACTGAAATGATGGGAGAACCCTTGCTGTTTCTGTAGTGAGCATCGAAGCTGAAGAGCTGCAGCTGTACGTCTGTAGCATTTACATGTGCACATAGCCAAAATGTAGTGTGTAGTACCTGCAAGATTTGATTAAACATACTATAGCACCCTAATTTAAAAAAGCAAAAGCACAGGTATTGCCACCTCTTCTCCCAGGTTTGAGGTGCAGGCCAGCAATATTACTTACACCACATGTTGAACAATTGATTCAGTGAGACTGCTTGCTGTCAGCAGTTACGCATGTACTTAGGTACTTTTTACTTTGCAAAATGTGGAAGAGCTTTCTTTGAAGTAGCCTCTCACTGCAGTTTCATATTTCTTGTCTTCAGGATTCCCTAGCAGAAGTTGAAGAGAAATATAAAAAGGCTATGGTGTCTAATGCTCAACTGGACAATGAGAAAACAAACTTCATGTACCAAGTAGATACCTTGAAGGATGTGTTGTTAGAGTTAGAAGAACAGCTGGCAGAATCCAGGAGGCAATATGAAGAGAAAAGCAAAGTAAGTGTGAACTCTTGTTGAGAAGCTAAAAGTGGTTTGAAAAGATAACTTCAGGGAAGAGGCAGTCTGATGGCTACTGTGGTACCTTAAAAAATGGGGAAAATCAAGTATATAGAAATCTGCCCTTTGAACAGTACTCATTAGCAACTTGGCTGCTTTTCTGCCTTCATTTGTAGGTATATGAATGTGAGATTTACATTTTATAAGTATTTAGAACATGGTGGGTTTTTTCATATGCAAGCTCATCAGTATGCCTTTATGTAATTCATCTGCATTTTGATTAAAGGAAATCCAAATAGCATTCCTGACTCTAGGAAATCTTATCCATAGCAACTTCAGAAGGCTTTCTGTTTTCTCTGGATGTAGAACAGTGATAGAAATGTAGCTGTGTTAGTCTGATGTAGCTGAAACAAAAAGCAGGACTATGTAGCACTTTAAAGAGGTGATGGTGGTTTATTAGGTGATGAGCTTTTGTGGGCCAGACCCACTTCCTCAGATCAAATAGTGAACCGTCCCCTTTTAACTCTTCTCTACTTATGCTACATTGATGACATCTTTATGATCTGGATGCATGGCCAAGAAACACTGGAGACATTCCACAGAGATTTTAACAACCTACACCCCACCATCAATCTCAGCCTGGACCATTCTACACGAGAGATCCATTTCCTGGACACCACAGTACAAATCAGCAATGGAAAATTAAACACCACTCTCTACAGAAAACCCACTGACTCATACAGTTACCTACATGCTTCCAGCTCCCATCCAGAACACACCATGCGATCCATCATCTATAGCCAAGCCCTTCGATACAACCGCATCTGCTCTAATCCCACTGACAGAGACCAGAAACTTCAGGATCTCTACCAAGCATTTATAAACCTCAACTACCCACCTGGAGAAATAAAAAAGCAAATTGAAAGAGCCAGACGAATACCCAGAAACCATCTACTTCAAGACAGACCCAAGAAAACCAACAATAGAACACCATTTGTCATCACCTACACCCCCCAACTTAAACCTGTCCAACACATTATCAATAACCCACAGCCTATACTGGAACAGGATACTAAACTCCGAGAGGCTCTGGGAGACAGACCCATAGTCTCCTATAGACAACCACCTAACCTCAAGATGATTCTTACCAACAACCACAGGACATACCACACTAACACCAACCCTGGTACCTTCCCTTGCAACAAACCCTGTTGCCAGCTTTGTCCACATATTCATTCTGCTGATACGATTATTGGACCTAATCAGGTGAGTCATAAAATCAAGAACACATATTCCTGCTCATCCAGAAATATAATTTATGCTATCATATGCCGAAAGTGTCCGTCTATGTACATTGGAGAAACGTCTCAGACACTTCTCAGACACTTCGCCAAAGGATCAATGCCCACAAAACAGATATTAGACAGGATCACAAAGAAAAAACAGTTTCTTGCCATTTCAACCAGAAAGGACATCGTCTCAACGACTTGATTACCTGCATCCTGCTTCAAAGACCTTTTCAGACCACACTCGAAAGAGAATCCTCTGAACTGACATTCATGCTTAAATTTGACACTTTACGCCTAAGTTTAAACAAAGACATTAATTATCTTACACATTACAAAGGTAGCTTCCCCAATTATCACCTCTAATATCATTAGCTCACAGACATTTACCTCCCTCTCTCATCCCCTCTCTGTTCTGAAATTTGATTTGTCCTTTTCATATGTGTTCATTTTTTTTATTGTATCCTTTGGTATATATGGTCATGCCAATTTTCTTCCACTATTTGATCTGAGGAAGTGGGTCTGGCCCATGAAAGCTCATCACCTAATAAACCATCTTGTTAGTCTTTAAAGTGCTACATAGTCCTGTTTTTTGTTTTCTCTGGGACACTGTTATTTTCAAAGCCTAATTCAAAAGGCTGTAGGAGAGCTGAATGAAAAGTACAGTAAACTTCCGATAATCCAGCACCTTTAGGACCCAGGGGGTGCCGGATTATCAGATATGCCAGAGTACTGGAAGGGGGGCTATGAGTGGTGGTGGTGGGGGTTGGCGGGGAACTGCGCAGCATGGGAGAGGGCAGCGCTGCGGGACCAACCCGGCAGCACCCTAGCTCCTCTGCCCCCGGCTTCCCCAAGTCAGCCGCTGCTGAAACTGACCAGCGGTGGATTTGGGGAAGACAGGGGCAGAGCAGCTGGGGTGCTGCAGGTTGGTCCTGTAGCACCACCCTCACCTGAGCGGTGCTGCAGGACCAACCCAGCAGCACTCTAGCTGCTCTGTCCCCGGCTTCCCCAAGTCAGCTGCTGGTTAGTTTCAGCAGCAGCAGACTTGGGGAAGCTGGGGGCAGAGCAGCACTTCCGGGTTCCAGTTGGTTCCGGACTATCAGGAGTGCCGGACCACTGGATGCCGGACAATTGGAGTTAAACAAATTAAGGCACCATTGGAGTTAAATATTGAAAATTTGATACGGTTGACTTGAATTATTGTCACCTCAGTGTGGTAATGGAATGAGCCTCATTGAATTACTGTGCTAGTTTGCAGGAAAGTTATTTCCTTATGGTTTATATGCTAACATCTCAGGAGCTAAATCTTTGACTCAAGGGCTGCGTCTAGACTAGCAACTTTTTCTGCAAAAGTGGTTGCTTTTGCAGAAAAACTTGCCAGTTGTCTACATTGGCCGCTTGAATTTGCGCAAGAGCACTGACGATCTAATGTAAGCATTTTGTTTGAAATAGCTTGATCCCATCCTCAGATTTCTTTTGTAAGAGACAAACAAGTTTAAAATTGAGAGAGTCATGCTGACCCCTGTATAAAGTACTTTGAGATCTGTGTATGAAAAGCTGTATGTATGTATTATTATTATGCACGACAAATCTTTCTTTCTTCAGGAATTTGAGCGGGAAAAGCATGCTCACAGCATATTGCAGTTTCAGTTCACAGAAATCAAGGAGACCCTGAAGCAGAGAGAAGAAATGCTCATAGTAAGTAATTTCTTCATTGTGTTTAGTGTGGTTGTTTGAGCCAGATGTTCCAAACTAACAGAATATAGAAGACTCAGAGAGGAGTGGGGAATCCTACTCCCTGCCTCAGATCTCTCACCCGAAGCAGCATGTAGGCTTAGTTTTAGTCACCCCCAAAATTGTTAGGGCTGATAAAAACAAAAATCTCAGACGTGCTGTTTGTAGTTGGTTTTGTATGTTATGCTCTCGGTCCCTCCTTGAAGAGAGGCTGGAAGGAAGGGAACACTGGTGTGAAACTCAAGTAAGGACTCAGAGCAAGATAATTTTAGTAGACAGATGTTTGTCAGGTGTGTGTTTGTCATACTATAGGTGAGAGGGTGGTTGTCCCTAGCAGGGCAGATCTCAGGAATTGAATTAATCTCTTTGAAGGAAAACAGTTGGATATGGGAGTGATGCAGATAGGTAGATTGCTGTACTTTTGTAACACCTGATTTCATTGTTCTTTGTATCTCTACAATCTAGAGTTTTTCGTCCGATTAACTCTTTACTGCTTTCTGTCTCCTTGTATGCTCCTGCTCCTCAGGAAATCCGGCAGCTGCAACAGAAACAGGAGAGCTATATCAGGGAAATTTCTGATCTTCAGGAGACGATAGAGTGGAAAGACAAAAAAATAGGGGTAGGATTTGCACACAGCTTCTGAAATGTGCTCAGTTTCAAACTGTGCTGCTTAGCAGATTCTGTACCTGCAGAACCTTATGAATCAAGTATTATCCTCTACAGTGTGACCCACAATCTGTCAAACTCTTTAAATTGATTTGTGGTTTTAACTTAAAAAATAAGACTCAAGAAAATTCTCCTCCTCTGACCAGGTTTGAAAATTCACTGGAAGTCACATACTATGGTGAAGTGCATGCGTATCCAGTACGGATATATAACTAGGAGAGGAGTGACTTTTAGTAAAATACTGGCTATTTGTGATACATGTCAATGCTGAACAGAATTGGTTTTCTGATTTATTACCTTTACCCTTTTAAACCATAACTGCACTATGGGAAAGGAGAAAGTGGGCCTGTTTTTATAGCTCACTGAATTCTTGGAATGAAAATCGTATTCTTGCCCACCACCACCAATGCAAAAGAAATGTTAGCACTCAGTGGCACTTCTGAAAATAAATGTGGTTTAGTCAGTGGTGGATGAGATGTGGAAACCCCCTTTTTTTAGGTGGAGAAAAGAAATCTGGCAAGTCATTTGTCCATGTTGTCCAATGACATGGCAATTTGAAACCCACAATTTAAAATAATTTTGACACTTAGCTGTAGTGAAGCTCGCTCTCTCTCTCTCTCTCTCTCTCACACACACACTCACACACACACACTCTCACACACACTCACACACACTCACACACACACACACAGAGTGAAGGATTATTCTGAACTCCCCAAACTGAGTGCTTGCATTAAGCCATATATTGGCCGGATTTAAGTTTTTTTCTGAATTCATAAATTTAGCCTTTACTATTACTTTTCTTCTTTTCATGCATGTCCGTTCCATTAATTTCTGAATATCTGAAACCTGCTTATTTTTATTTCTAACTTACCTTATATAGTCTCTTCTCCTTTCTTCTTGTCTCCCTGCCCTCTGTCTGTTTGCTCTGTGAAAACACACAGGCGTTAGAGAGGCAGAAAGAGTTCTTTGATTCCATAAGGAGTGAGCGAGATGACCTCAGAGATGAGGTGGTTGTGCTGAAGGAACAACTGAAGGTATGCAGTAAGAACAGAAGAACTTCTTGTTGCTAAAGCAATTCAGTAATCTATTTGTTTCTCTTCTGGTGCACTGGATAGATAAGTTGTTTCCAGATAAACAGCACTGATAAGCCAGATGCACCTGTTGCTCTCATTCACTTCAAGAATTTGCTTTTCAGCATCCTCTTCTGGGATAATTGGCACACCTCTATAGTGAATAGAGATGAGGAGTTGTCCAAGGAACATTTAAAATATTGGGCAACAGAACTACTTTAAAAAGGTGATCAGATCTGTTTTGTTAGAATTTTGAACAAGGCGCATTCTTCTTGCTTTGGTTATGAAGCCAGCATTGCTCAAAATATAAAGGGCCAAGAACATTCAACCAATCATATTGTTTGTGTGAACATCAAACTTTAAAATATTCCTAACTTATCCACAGAAACACGGAATAATCCCAAACTTGGAGGTAGCCACCAATGGAGAGACTGTAGATGGTCTCGAGAATGAAGGCCATTCGGATTCTACCAAGATTACCCAAGGGGCGACTCAGCTCCTAAAGTCCACTGGGGATGGGACACTAGGTAAGTGCTCACATTCCACTAGAGCAGTGATCCTCAGACTGCAGCTTGTGAGCCGCAAGTGGCTCTCTGTCTCCTACGACTCTGCGCAGCATGTGATATTAAAACACTGCATGCTTTGACTGTGGTGTTCACCCATTCGGTTCTCAGCTTGCACTAAGTTATTACCTTATTTGCTATGAAAATGTTCAGATTTTTCCCTGTCATATTGTTTAAATATGAAAAGTACTATAGTAAATAAAACAATATGCATTTATGGTGGTTCTTTGGGTAGTGTTGATGGGTAATTTGGCTCCTGAACCACTTAGGTCTGAGTATCGCTGCACTAGACTTTTCCATTTCTCTAATCATCATTCATTCACTTTTTTTTGGCTTGGAGATTGCGCATTCATTATTTGAACAATTAACAGATCACACAACTTGTTGAATCACCTCCTATGCCTTTTCTTGCCTGCTGATTATAGTCGCTTCACTTCAAGCATATCATGACATTTTTCTGTGCCTGCAAAAGGAGATTTTATTGAATATTCCCTTTATTCTGCACCCTGAGAAAATAAATGGTCATGTCACAAATATAAATACAAGATGAGCAGCAGCTTATTTCACTTATTAAAACCTGAATTTAGGAATGTCCTCAACATTCCTACAGTTGCTTTGATTAATTCTCTGTGTTAGAAAAATAATCTAAGCGAGGCAACCAGAATAATAGCACTTGAGTTCATATATGTACATTTAATACACAAATTATGTAATTAATACATTTGAGAACTTGAATTTCTGCTGAACAATAGTTCAGTGTGCTGATGCAAGCCATTTTAACATAGTTCTAAATTCTTAACATCTAGTACTGTTAAGTATTTTATATTGCTAGAAATTGTATAACAATTATATGCTCAGCAGTCTGTCTAGGAAGTCTATATTACATATGTGTCCTTAGAGGAGGAGGAATCTGGTTGGTTGGCAAAGATTCTGATTAGTGCAATTATGCAGAATCTGAAGTAATTGAAGCTTTGCACTGTCATTATGCTCATGGAAGAGGGGAAAATACTGGATTTTTACTTCTAAATTGAAATACTAGCAAATCTCAATAGACAGCCAGTCATGTAACTAAAAGCAAGAAGCTTCTTCAGTTTTAGCTGTTGGCAGCTTTTTCTCATTCCATTGGTGAAAACAATTGGAAACAACAAAAACGGTATGAAAACATTGAGTTATAGCTAAAACTCTGGTCTGCTTTAAGCTATTCTGATTCTATGGAAACAGGTATGTTGTAGGAACAAAAGCTAATACCTGACTTTGAGTTCTGATTAGCATCTGCTTTTTTCTTCCAAAGTGCTGCAAATTAGAAGAAAAGTTGTATTGCTAAACAATATATGGGAAGAAATATTGTCTCTTTTGGATGGATGTAGTGGTTGGAAGAAGCTGAGCTTGAATCTTTTGGGTTGTGTGATATCCATGCATTCAAGCCATTGTCTGCCAATCAGATCCCATCTTCCATAAAACTCATTGTACATGCCAATTTTATAAAATAGTACCTGTTTTTTTAAGTCAATAGCTATAAAATACTGCTGAGTATTATGTAAGTTACTTGGTTGTAATGCCATCAAACACAACTTTGCAGTAATAATCCTGTATAGAGCAGTGCGAGAGTTAAAAATATGGTGAATATTAGTGCAGTTGTAAGCATCAAAATCTGAGTTTGTTTCATCACTATTAATAAACTGCACTGCTTGAAAAACATGTATCTCATTTATGGAAATTGTACATCACACTGCTTATAAAGACTTGATAGCAGAATCAAATACAATTCTTGCTTTTGGGAAAGCGGGGGTCACTGATCAGAGTATTTACTAATTCAATTGCTGCATTGCCTCACGTAATTGGCAAAAGCTGATCTTTTATTAACCGATTCTTCAATTCATTTTCTCTTTTGGGTTTTAAGTGGGGAGGTAAGTGTTACATGTTTAACAAAATTAAGTAGTCACCCCATGGTGTAGTCCCTTCAACTTTCTCAATGGTCTTTTAGGCAGAGCCAATGAAGTGGAGATGAAAGATGAGATTTTGGAGGATGTGGGGAACAGACAAAACTTGCAGAATACTGAGGAACACAAAGAGGAGTCTGAGGAGCGGGAAATTGTAAAGGAGTGTGCGGAGATAAAGACATTGCATGCTGATGAAAATACAGAGGCAGAGAAAACCATTGAAGACAATGCTGTTACGTCAACAGGGATGTTAAGTCGTGGACGTGAAGAACAAATGCAAAGCCATGCAGAACACGTTTCAGGAAATGTTTCTTCCACTGACAATAGTGATGTGATTCAGTTGAGAGAGGAAACAGACTTGGGAGGTGATAGCATAGAACCCCAACAGTCTGGTAGTAAGGAAGCTGAACATAGTAGTGATTTAAATCATTTGAATAATGAGGCTTGGGAAACAGGTACACTGCCAAGTCAGGGTATTGAGACTCCTCAGGGGAGGCCAATGGACTTAGACCCAGAGCATGAATCTGAAAGAGTTGCACAAGAGCAGGAAGTAAAACGGGAGGATTTTACAGTTTGCCAAAGAGAAGGCAAGAGTGAAATATTTCAGGAAGCTCTTGATCTTGTGGGTAGCAGCCATTCGTCCGCCTCTGATCAGTCAGGATCACCAGGAGGTGCAAGAGCAGGGGCTGGTGCTGAAGAGCCACATGTGGTGGCCCACCTTGAAAGTCTCCGTCAAGCAGAAGAAAGCATTGGAAACGAGGTTGGGAGTAGCTTGCAGAAACAGCTTGCTGGAGATGAAGGGTACATAGACACAGCAATTGGTAAAGTAGGGCATGGTAAAGTTGAGGGTGAGGCAGCTGAAAAAGAAAAGACGGGAAATACAGTTGAGAGTCTGGGAAGGAAAGAAGTGGATTCTTTGGGAGAGGAGGGAGAAGCAACAGGTGAAAGTGAGGTCACACCAGAAACAATTGTAAAAGAACAAAAACCAGATGAACTCCAAACCCTCTCCACTTTTTCAAGAGCAGCAGCAGAAGAAAACATGCAAGATGAGGCAGAGAACGAAAAGGATAGTGCTGCGAGGGGACAAACAAAAGACATAGGAAAGGTGGAAGAATTGACAGGCATATTGGATATACAGTCAGATTCTGAAACCGAAAGGGCAAAAGAGGAGGAATGTGTGGTATCCCTAGATGAATGTGCAGAGATAAAAGAAGGTGCACCACATCAGACAGAGCAGGACCAAGATGTCATGAAAGAAATTCCGTCCCCAAAAACTATTTTAGTTTCCAGTCCCAGTGACCATGAAATTGAGGAATCAAACACAGAAACGTACGACAGAAAGGAAAGGGAAAATGACTTGATGGAAGATGAGAGAACACAGGTAGAAATACAAACAATTAAATGCAGTGAAGAAATAAAGAATATTGCAATACAAGAAAAAGGTAAGACTGTAGAAAATGAAATGCAGACAGCAGTTGAACAAGAGGAAGATGAATCTAAACAGGAATTGACGCAGGATGCCAGAGTAATCCTTGAAGAAGTTGTTGATAAAGAGGTATCAGTGGAAAATAGTGAGAAGCTGGGTCTTCTAGACCAGCAAGATGATGCATGTGTTTCTGATGAGAGTTCACTGCAGACAGTCACAGAACTATCACAGCAACTTAGTGAATCTCTTGAAGGCAACATAAAAGCAATGGAAGTTCAAAATACTGGGTTAAATTATACATGTCAATTTAGTAGAGAACAGATGGGAAACGAGAATGAGGAAGGTGAAAATGAAAGACTAGAAGAGCAGAATGAACTTCAAGAAGATAAGACACAGGAAGTTGTCCCAGACGTTGAGAGCGAAGCTGATTGCCTCAAGACGCGGAAAGCCATGCTGGATGAGAAGCCTGATGAACAAGTGGAGGTGGCAGGTCCAGAGCAGGAAAGAGGGGAAGATAATGAAAAAATTAACATTGATGATGAATTAGGGCAGATATTAGAAACTCATGGAAAACATGATGCTGCAAGAGTTAATGCACAAACATTGGAGGAAGTTAGGGAAAAGAAAATGGTCACAGAAGAAGATGAAGAGGAGGAAACTTGCCAAAACAGAACACACAAAGTAGAGAATGAGAGCATGGTTACTGGAGGCAACCCTTGTGCCCAGCAGGAAGAAGAAAAGGAAGCTGAAGAAACTGGCCCTTTGCAAATTGATACATCTCAGTCTGCAGCTACAGAAAAAGCATGTGATCTGGTGGAGGATGAAATTGAAAAAGTGTTAGACAGTAATATGGAATATTCATCAGAACAGGAGGTAGGAAACTTAGGCCACACTGGGGATGAAAACAAAGAGGATGTGCAAGGTAATAGAAGAGGCAAGGGTAAATCTAAAGAAGATTGTATAATATCATAAGTTCAAAATCTAGGACCAAAATAAGTTACATGCACCATTATTCAATCAGGTTCCGTACAATAATGCACTTTGCACGATAATCAGACTTTAGAAATACTCTTTAAGTTTCTCTGTATGGAAGTCTCAGAATAGTGTCACTCTATATATGCGGTCATCCATCCAATTTCTTTACTGCTGTACATGTCCACCAGAGAGAAAACACGTAGATTTGTTTTTAATCTCTCAGGTTTCACATTTTAGTACCCAAAGAACACCAGCACAAATGTATTGTTCAGGTTCACATTTAGTTACAATGCTTTTAAGGCAGGTATCTCCTATCGAGAGACCTTAAATATTGCTCTTATTTTCTAGACTTGTTTTAAGGAAATTAGATGTTTTGAATGTAATACCTACCTTACGTCTATGTTAGGTAAATCACCATTTCATGGTAATTATCATAAAGCAACTTTCAAGTATTACAGCACTGTCATATCCAAACTTGTTTATGAATATCTAAAGTTCAGGAACCAAGTATCACTGCTAAAATAAAAAATGCAATCCCACTTTCTGTATTATTTTCATAAGAACACATTCCAAGGCATAGTATATAAGAGATGCACACAAAATACCAAAATATTAGTTAGGTCACTGTGAATGTGCTTAGTCTGCACACTTTGAAAGGAAAGTATACAGTTTAAGAAAGTAAAACATAAATGCTTTGAGTTGTTAGTCATAAGGGTATACAAATTCACTTAATCTAGGAACTTTGCACCAGAATAAGCCTTCTTCTACATCATGTCTCACATGTGTTTTTTATTTTTTTAGAAATGTTTTGGTACACACACTAATGTGTGTGTGCAGATTTTCTGTCAAGTACATTTTATTGCAAAGTTAATAGTATAATAAAATATCTATTTTTCCTAGAGGAAAGTTTGTTAATATTGCATTTCCTTATTGTATTATCTTTTTTTCACAAAAATACGGTTCTGAAAGAATGTTTTCTTATCTCTTAATATATTTTTCCTTCCTCCCTGCCAGGATGAAGGCAATTTTGAATGTCTTAATCTCTTTGAATATCTTAATCAGATAATTGGTATTGCTCTTTGAGTCCTAGTGCCCATATAGCCATTCCTGCCTTGCGGAAGATACCTCTCAATAGCTTGTAATAGCCTGAGTAAAAACAATAGAGAGAGATGTCTTATTTGCAAGTTTTAAATATGTTTTGTAAAAGGAAACATTCTTTTAAAACTTGTTCTAAGCAATGAAAATCAAAAGGGAATGCAAACTCAAGGTTTTGGGTGGACTATAGCAAGATATTGCTTGTATTGCTGTTACAAGATTAGTAGTGTGCAAATAGATTGCATCTTGACTCTTTTCATATCAAAATGTAATGAGCTGTATATAATTGAAATAAACTTATTTTATACATTAAAATACCTGTCCAGAGCACTACTTGCAAACCTTCTTAAAATTCAATCTAAACTGATAAGAGTCTACAAGCTTATTTTGTAAAAAGGCATTGCACACTGGCCTTTCACCTGCTTTATGTATTATCATTCTTCCAAATGTCTAACTTCTTTCTTATTGACAGTTTTTCCTTCATGCTCATTTTAGGTAGTAAAATTAATGTGATGTCATTCTACTAAGAAACCTTGACCTCCACATCCAGGAACTTAAATGACATTGCATGAAACCGTAATTTTAAACCTATGGTGCCTTTTATATGTTTTCCTTTCTGACATTGATGGCAGCTTTGGTGCAATTTCTGTGCAATCCTTAAAGTGGAAGGCAATAAATGTTAATATTGAAATATAACCTGAAGATCTGCTCCTTCAAAGCTCCTTCTACTGTATAGCACATGTAACTAGTATGAAGATTTTTCCATTGCTTAAATCTCAAATGGAATATAAATATATGTGCTCAATAGACTTTCTCAATAATTAGAAAGTCATTTATAGTTGAATGTGTTAGAATGGCTAGCCCACAGAAGCACAGACGAACACTTGGTGTGTCTGGGGACACCTTGTTCATAAAGAGAAATGTAATTTAAATACTTCTGCTTTGATCGTGAGAAAATTAATACTTTGTTTTTCATTAATATTTCATTTACTCTGAAGCTTGTGCATATCTGTTACTTTTTAGAACATTAGTACAGCACCAGGGAAATAGATGCAATGATGACTCGTTTAGTAACTTGGTCATAGTGTTCTCTTCTGTTTTTCCAAACATGAGCGCTAGCTACTCTGGATATTTGCCATGATTTCAGAATCCAATGGACAGCTATCAACACAGCAAAGCTGCTACTGGTGAAGCTGCATCCATGACTGGCCACCAATTGCTGAAATCAGGGCAAATACCAGTGCAGAGAAGGCCTTTGAGTTCTTTGGTCATTTGTCAACCTGAATCTTCACACTTTAACTTGCATGTCTTGGGTTGTGTGCACTGCAAGAGTGTGGTTCCATGCAAGCAAATCTTCTTGAAAAGGACCACAGGTAATAGGGGAAAAATGGTTATTTGCCAGTCCTCCAGGTTTACACAGATGGCACACAGTGAAATGTGTGCTGTTATCTAGGAAACATGACTTCCTAGTCTGTGTCTATGTAATAATGCCAAAAGTCAGAAAGTGTGCAATGGACAATCAGGTTCTTTGGTATCCTACTTCCATAGCACAGTAACAGCTCCTGCTATAGTACAATTGCTTTTAGCAGCAAAGGTTCCCAGGTCAGGCACTTACGATGGCAGCCGTGTAATCTGATTTCTTAATTATAGTGGACTGAATCATCTTTCAGGGAACAAAAGCGCAAGTTCATGGTAAACTCATTGTCTCTCTAATGACATGCATGTTATGGCTGCAGTTTCTTTTGCAGAAGAGGCTATTAAGTGATCAGAACTAATCTTTTGGGCCCTCCAAAGCCATGGCCAATGGTTCCAGTTTATTTGGGTATCTAGCAATGGCAGGGCTATTCTCAGCTTTCCCTTCCTACCACATTCCTAATACTCTTCCTTCCAAAACTAGCCTTGAAAATCTCTCTGAAATTTGCCTAAAGATTCATGGTTTAATTGTAGTCTCCTCTCTTCCCCCCTCTTTGAACTGCCACAGCTGGGTCTTTTGGGTCCACGTGACCCATGGTTTGGGGATGATCCCAAACAGGGTGATCACATAGCAAGTTTCAAAGTCAAGACAGGAGTGGGGGATAACAGCCACCTGTATAACACAAAGCCCTGAATATGAGGACTGTCCCTATAAAATCTGGACATCTGGTCACTCTAGTCCCAAATCAGCGCTCAGGTCTGGGAGAGAGTACTACTTGTGCTGCTACCGATGGCACCAGGGTGCCTGCAAGTTTTCCCACTTGGCTTCTTGCAAATGACCAGTTGCACTACTGGGGAATCAGAGAGATTTCTAGCTGCAGCTAAGGTAGTTGAATAGCATGAGATGCAGCCTAGGTTTAATGTGAGATGGACAGCCAAAATCTCCTGTATCCATATCTTGTGCTTGTGCTTCCTGCACAGCCTTAGTCAAGTCACAAGCTGTCTGTTTAGTTTTCCCCATCATCAAAATGTGGACACCTACTTTACAGGGAGAAATATAGTATACTACATGTGTGTGTACACCATAGAAAGTATACTTACCACATGTAAAAGGCACTGTAGAATGGAGTTACAATCCTAGTGCCCCTCAGACACTTAGCTTATGTGCTTGTTAGAAAAAAGCAAAATAAAATACAGTGAGGTTTTCTTCAGAGTCCTCTTCTTTTGGGGGTCAGGGAGAGTGAAGAGGAGAGATCCTAGAAAGTAGAGTCTCTCACACACGTGCCAGCTTCACTCTGGCTGTGCCTAAAAGAATATTTCATTTGCCCTCCTCACACCTGCACAAGACTCGTAATGGGAATAGATAGGAGACCATCATGTTGTGGGGAGTGATGTGAGAACCTGCATTTTTGGGGGTGTTTGCAAAACAAAGGTCAGGTCTAAAAATGACTGACAAATAAATGTTTCCATTTAGGATACTGCTGATATATTTCAAACACAAAAGGCATGTTACCATACTGGAAATAATGTGGTAGTTACGTAATAATTATGTGTATATGTGTGCATGGTTAATTAAGCTTCCAGAATGAAATGGACCATTTTGGCAAGTTTACTTCAAAATGGGACATTCCGTCCTCTATTAAATTTCATTCTTAAGCAGTTTACTTGCTGGGTTTTCTTCTGATGTTTAGCAGCCAACCTTGGCTGCAGCCATGAAATACTTTACCTTGCTCTTCTGTTCGTTGGCTTTGTTTCCATTTGTTTCCTTTAAACAGGGTTTTCTGTTCTCCACCTCTCTGTGTTTTTCAGCTGCTCTACATGCACATGCTTTTCAAACAGTTATTTATTTTGCAGGATTTACCACGTCATGTGGTTTGTCATCCGTCCCTCCCTTCCTCTCCACTCCCACATTCAGTTTCATATCAAGAAAGTTGTTTTCCCCAGGAAAGTACACAATATGGTTTCACCTCAGTACCTGGCTGCCACAATGCATGATGACTTTGAAATTCCCTGTGTCCTGTCCATTTCTTGGGCAATTGAGTGCTGAATTCTTTCAGACAGTAGATGTGTAATGCTGCTGAACTGCCATGTTGTTTTATGATTTGTTGTCAGACAGCACAGAGAAAAAGATGCAGTTTTGTAATTTAGAATGACCTCTTTGTGATTATATGCATACCCCAGTGAAGAGTTACTATATTCTTCTGAGTTACCATTGTTGCAGATTTGCCAGATTTACAGGCTCCCATTTTAATTCATTTTTTCCCATTTTTCATACACTGATATCTGTGATGCCACCGTTATTTCCTGTGTGTGTCAACAAAGAAAAAGGATTACAATTTAGTGACCTATTGCATATAGAAGATCTAAAAAAAACCCCTATTGCCTTCATATTTAAAAAAATTCAAAACACTCAGTGTAGGTCTCTTACTGCAGATTATATCCTTAGAAATATATTCAGTGAAATCTACAGCTGATTTGTGAATTGTCAATTGCAAACTCAAAGAAATGCAAGAACTTTTTCGGAATGAACTTCACATGTTGGCAGTTTATTCAGTAGCCAGCTCCTGACGTGCTGAACTCAGGTGGAATTTGAGTGGTCAGCACCTATAGATTTGGCCCTGTGTAGATGACTGCCTAGCTGTAAGGAGTGCTGTGGTGGTGTAGGTGCATCAGTGCCAGGATACTAGAGATGCAAGTTGGGAGAGGCAATATATTTTATTGGACCAACTTCTGTCCACTCTGTATGTCCACCTCTAGGAAGGACCAACTAATAATATAAAAGAAAACTCTGGGAAATCTAGTGAACAAATTCAGCTGCTCAAAAGGAACAAAAATTGTCAATGTATTTTGTTCAGTATAAAGGTAAAATACACATGATGGGGCTGTAACTCCATAATTCATAAAATCACTTATTGCATAAAATATATGGCATCTCTTGAAATGTTTCCCTTGGCCTCAAAGGGAAGAGATGAGCGTAGTGTTTTGTTTACGCTCTTCAATTTTCTTTTCTCAAAATTACCTTTTCAATTCTGGCAAACCGGGTGCTCTCTTGTATTTGTATACTGATCCCTGGTCCTTCAAAATTCAGATCTAACACAACAAGTTGTCTCAGACAACACACTCCTATTTATATTCGACCTGAAGGACTAAAATAGAGACCTCCCTCCACTTTACCAGACTCTCTCTTTAACAAAAATCCAACATGCAAATGTTTTACTAAGGACAATGACAGAAAACGCTGTAGCCACGCTCCTTTGTTACAAAGTTTTTATTGATGTTTTAAAATGTTACCATGTGATTAGCAATGATTGCAGGTGTACTTAATGTCTTCCTAACGATATTAAATTTTAAAGATTTGTGTTACAGTTGTGTTTGACCCTAGAGTTTTTGCATGCTAACCTAAAATAGAAGATTAGCCTGTTTGCATGCCGTTGGGTGCTGCTACTGAAGTGACAAGCATGCTCAATGAGAATGACATAACTTCCCTTGGCTGAAACCCCTTCCCAGTCCTGTCTGTGACCTCATTTCCTGTGGTACGTGCATAACTACCTTCATCATTTGTTTCACTAACCCTTAATTCTGTCTTTGATTAAATACATGCCCTGAAAGATGCATCATAACTAAATCAGCACTGAGTTCTCTGTTCTCTTTCAGACAGACTGAAAAGACTCATTGATGAACGAGAATCCTTGCTAGAACAGGTAATTAAAATATTTCATTGTTGCTGGATGCCTGTTAATTTAACATGGTGAGGAGATTTAAGAGAACAAAATACTCCTATAGCATACACAGCACAGCAGCTGCTGCTGGAAATGCTGCTACTACTGCTTTCCTTCCTGTGGTCTGTGTTAAGATGTGATTGTATTCCATAGGAGCTGGGTTCCGCTTTGTACATTGGTGTGAAGATACATTTATGGGGAGGGATATGGAAACTTCATTAAAAATTTCATTGAGAGTTGAAAGGCGGATTATCCCCACTCCCCAGGAGAGCTAGTTGCATGTGTTACGGGGTTAACTGCACCTTTAAACCCTCCTGGTCTCTTCAAGGATGTTCCATTCATGTGTCTGGCATCTTTCTTGGGGTGGAATCATGCTTTTCTCCCTCTGACAAGGTCTTGCACTGCGGTCCCCAATGTTAGCCATGATTATTTCAAGAGGAAGTTCTGTTCTCTTGGGAAGCAATGATGGTGATAAACAGTGACCAGACAACCTTCAAGCAGAGTGTTTAGAACATAAGTCATTCTAGAGAAAACAGCCCTTTAAACAATAAACAGTCTGCATGCCAGCCTCTCTTTGCATAAAGCTTAATCTCTGAATGTCTCCTCAAACAGCTGCTGACAATCTTTTTTGTTTCACAGTGGACAGTTTAGGAGGAGAAATGCAATAGGGATACTGTAGCTGCGTAAATGATGCTGATACTATCCATCATAGAATTCCAAAATAGAGCATATGTGCACACCTTTAAAAACCGATTTGTTTCCTTGCAGATGATAAATCCTTAGGAATCTTTATTCTTCCAATCAATTATTCTCTTGAGACCTTTGGGGTTGTTAGGATTGTTCATGTGCATTAACTCACATTGTTAAAAAAAAAAAATCTGTCTTTAATTTACCTGTGACGTAGGAGTTGCATTACCAGTAACTGTCCCCCGTGATGTCGCTTACTCTTTCTACTCTGGAATCTACACCAAATAACAGCAAAGGAACAGCTTGGAGATTATTTTGTGACAATACATAATGTGGGACAGATGATTGAAGCATGAACATTCCTTCTGGCTACCTGAACTTTTGTGTGGGGGCTGTCTTTGTAAAGATACTGAAATTAATTATCTTGGGACTTTCAGATTAAAACTCTAAAAGGACAACTGGAAGAGAAGCCGAAGAATGGCAAGATGGAGAACATGCGGTCTGAAGATGAAGTTCTTGAGAATGGGACAGATATGCACATGATTGATCTCCAAAGTAAACTTAATTTTCCATTTTCAGACTAAGGATGTTAAGTATCAGCTAACTGACTAATCGAATAGGCGATGCATTTTTGCATTGATTATTTGATTAGTTGATGGGGCGCCTTGGCCTTTGAAGTGTAGCAACAGCCCTAGGGCTGTTGTTACACTTGGAAGGCGAAAGCTGACCCCCGGCTGTGTGTGGTGCATTGGGCTCCCCACAGCGCTTCAAAGTGGCAGCAATGCATGGAGTCTTGGGTCAGCTGGGGACTGATCCCAGGCTCCACATGGCGCTTTCACCTTTGGGTCAGCTGGGGAGTCTCCTTAGTTGGCCCCAGGCTGCACGCACATTTCAAAGCGGCAGCGCCATGGGGAACCCGGGGTCTGGCTCCAGGCTTCAAGCGGCGCTGCTGTTTTGAAATACTTCCTCTTCTCCCCCTTCCCCTTGCTGCGTCTATCTGATAGAGGCGGGGGGGGGGGGGGGGAGCAACTAGTTGACTATCCTGCGATCTATCCAATAAGCATTTGATTATCGGATAGTCGACTAGTCCTTCACATCTCTATTTCAGAGTAAACTGCTGTGGGCTGTATATGGCTAAAAACAGTGCAAATAGTGGTTCTTTGAGAGACATCCCTGGGGGTGCTTCACAGTAGGTGTGTCCCACTTTGCGGTGCTGGGATGCACCTATACCTACTGCGGAGCACCGCCAGGGACACTCATCTCGAAGAATGTCAGTTACAGCCAGGTGAGTAACCTCCTCTTTAAGACTCTTGAATTATGAGAGCCTGCAAGTGGGCTTTTTGTACTGTTTCAATGTTCTCTTATTGTTACATTGATAGAATTTTCAGTGCAACAGGCAGTAAGATAAGATTGTACAGTAGTTCAGGATCAGGCTGTTTGTTTCCACTTTCAAGACTCTGCTGCACAGAAACCTCCATTGTGTTATCAAGTAGGGCTGGGCACAGGCTTCCTTCATACCATTAATTCTGTTGTCAAATGATGTGAATCACTCCCTGCTCACAGGCACTGGAATCTGTGTGCATATCAGCTGGGACATATAAGGGAACTTTACATAGTATTTCATGCCAGCCTCCTCTAATAACAATGCAATGTTGTAACATTCCAGCATTTTAGGTACTGGAGCCATGCCCCAGTTGTGCCTGTGTTTCTGATAAGATTTTTAACTTTTTTCTTTTTTAGGAGATGCCAACAGGCAGATCAGTGACCTCAAATTTAAACTTGCAAAGTCTGAACAAGAGATAACCGCTTTGGAGCAGAATGTAAGTTTGCACATGGAGAGACAGTGATCAGTTCAGAACTAAAATGTTCAAGTTGCATTGAAGTATACTCCTGGGGCAGTTCTGCACCCCCAAAAAATTTCTGCATGCAGTATTTTAAAATTCTACATGTCTGTGAAAAATAACACAATAGAGTCAAGCCAGTTTCAGGCATTTTGAAATAAATTACCAAAATACAATCTGTCAGCAAATATGTCTGTAATACAGGCAACAACAAAAGATTTCCCCCAGGATTGGAGCAGTAAAGAAATCCCTACAGTTCCTGGTTTTCTGTTATGCTTTTTATGGTGCCTCAGTCTGAGAGGGTCGCACATCTTGGGAGAAGACCCCGGCCCTTTGGTTTTAGTTTGTCATTTTTTTCCACCATGCTCCAGTAGGATTACATATAGAGGTTCCTGAGTAGAAGATTCCACTGAGGAGAGTGGGAGGTAGAACTGGAGAGGGAGATGCTAGAAGTGTCTGTACTGGGATCGAGCATTTAAAGAGTGCTGGAGGGGTGCTGCGCAGGGTCTCCCAGCACAGACTTCCACACCTGCTCCCCACAAAACCCAGCCATGGGTGCCAGATATGCCCGCACCCCAGAGCCCGGGGATCCAGAGGAGGACAACAGCATAATAGTGAGTCATAGGCTTATATGTAATGTCCAGCACACCTCTCCTTCCTTCAGGGCATGCTGGGAACTGCAGCTATTGTGGACTCTCCAGCTCTCCTTTCCCTCCAGCTCTGTTTGCAAGCTGGGGAGCCATGCTCTGAGGGGTCCAGCAGCCTTGTGTAGTGCAAACTCTGTGAGGAAAAAAATTAAGTTCTGCACAAATTCTGTTTTGCACAGTGGTGCAGAATCCTCCCAGGAGTAAAGGCAGTAAGTCTGCATAAAAGTTGGCTCTCCGTACATATCCACTCTCACCTGTCTCTCCCTGTATCAGAGGCAGCAGCATGGGGTGGCAGGTAGCTCTCAGGGAGCCAGTTTGTGGGGAGCCATCCTTTAAGCCAGCTCCCCAGGCATAACAGCTCCCACCTGCTGTCCTGCTCCCGGGGTTTTGGCTGCCGCCCTGGCGCTGCTGCCTCTGACACAGAATCAGCAGTGCAGGGTGGCAGCCAGCTCCCCAGGAGAGGAGCAGGAGCAGAGCAGGAGCCTGCATATAACCATGAATGTTAATTGATAAGCCTGAGCTTATCAGTTAACTGTTTACACAGTTAAACATTCACATCCCTACTGGAAATACTGTTGTTTACATATAAAAAAATTTAAAGAATTATATGTAGAGTTCCAAACAACAATCAACTTCAAGGATCTGTATTAACACCATTTAAAAATACAACAGTGGTTCCCAACCGGTGGTCTGCAGATGGTACTGTAGGGGGTCTGCAGAAAGTTTAAAATAGAAATTAAAATAAATGTATGGAGCCTCTCGCAGCCAGCACGTCTCTCAGTCCATGCTGCTTCCCGAGTGGGCTGAGACACACAGTTCGGGAATCGGTGCAGGCTGAGGGACATGCAGGATATATTGTTTGGGGCGGGGTCAGGAAAATGTTAATAGATTGAAAAGGGGTCTGTATGCTTAAAAAGGTCGGGAGCCACTGAGAATGCACTTGAGACTGGTTATATCAAGATGCCTGTAGTTCTTTACTGGCTGGAAGCAATTGTGGGGTGTATGAGTCATGGGTAATAGAGTTGCGTGTCACTGCTCATTATACCTTTTGTCCTGCATAAGTCAGTAATACAGTTGTTCTTCAGAGAGAAAAGACTGGTGCTATTTAGTCATCAGATCATAGAAATTTAGGGTAGGAGATGACCTCAGGAGGTCATGTAGTCCAAACCCCTGCTCAAAGCAGGACCAACCCCAACTAACTTATACCAGCCTCTAGTTGTAGAAAAGTTTGTCCTGTTTAACTTTCAGTGTAGGTAAGTTACATTTTTTAATACATTGAAACATTTCATGGACAACAGGGACAAACAACATGGACAAGCAACCTGTAGTTTCTAGTATCAGAGGGGTAGCCGTGTTAGTCTGAATCTGCAAAAGCGGCGAGGAGTCCTGTGGCACCTTATAGACTAACTGAAGTGTAGGAGCATAAGCTTTCATGGGCAAAGACCCACTTCGTCTTGCATCAAACATGCATCTGACGAAGTGGGTCTTTGCCCATGAAAGCTTATGCTCCTACACTTCAGTTAGTCTATAAGGTGCCACAGGACTCCTCGCCGCTTCTGTAGTTTCTAGTAACTGACATTTCAGTGATATAGTTTTCTCAGAATATCCCCTTCATTCTAATAACACAATGTAGACTCCCAACTTCAGTGTGTTTCCCAAATAAAAACAGGATTAGAAGTTATTTTACCTGTGCACAGTTCTTAATGGTATACTTGCTTTTTAACTTTAGGTAATACGGTTGGAGGGTCAAGT